TTTAACTCTTTGAGATCTAAGCCATTTTTTCACATGTTAGGCTCGTGTGGGCTTTTAAAAAAAAAATGCTATTAAAACATGAACCTTGGTGACCATTGGGCTGGCCTGCATGGTCTGCCTACAAAACAAAAATAAAAGAACGTGTTTGCAGCCCAGGCCCGGTTCCAGAACAAAATGACTCAGGGTGCATCTGAGATTAGAGAGGGTGCAGTGGTAAAGTGCTATTTTGAGTGGACCTAACATCCTCTGGGGGATCCTCACCTCCTCTCGGGGGGTCCGGGGGCATGCTCCCCCGGGAAAATTTTTTTTTTTAAATATTGAAGTTAAAAGCATCAATCTGGTGCACTTTGAGAGCAAAATGAAGAGATCTATGGATCTATGTGCTCTTTGCTTGATTCATGCCTTCCCAGTCCCTTATCACGTAGCCTATAAGAGCATGGCGCCAGTTGTAGTAGCCAGTTGTGGTGAAGGCATCTGACTTACTTGAACCGAAATGTCTACATGCATAGCAGAAGATGGCATCTTTTTTACATGAATATTCCAGCCAATCTCTGTTTTGAAACCATGAGCTGCAAAATGAGCGCCTTACCCCACTGTACAGGCGAGTTGGGTACTTTTTTAAATATACCTGGGCAGGCTCTGTTTGGCCGAGGTCCTCTGGCACTTGTGGGCCACTGAGGGGTGTCGGTGTTGGGGGCAACGAAGACGGCTGCTCCTCCTCCGTGGGCGAGGCGGGCAAAGCCGGCGAGTCGGGTGTTAGTGTCCACGACAGTGGCCGCGGGTAACTTAATGTCCCCATGATCTGAACTGTTATTACCTGCAGTATATGCAGTGTTACTGCTGGCGATAAGGGCTGGTTGTTTTAACCATTTTCTGAGTTCCATCATTGACTGCTGTGTAAGCACCTTGCAGATGACAAACGCACAGCGGCACAGGTCACGCGCACCTGACATAGTTACGTTACACCAAAAGAAAAATCTTAAAATAATACATTTGAAAACTACAACAAAATAAACAACTAAACAAAAACATCTCGTTTATAGTTTATTATCTTTCTGTCTTGCAAAATATATTTCACTTTATCAGGAAGCACAGAGTTGGTTAGGTATTCTGTTTCTATGTAGTACATAAAATAAGATGTACTTTATTAATCCCAATTTGCAGCAGCATAAAACAAAACAAGGCATTGCACATAATAACAAATTAAAAGAGTAGAAATAAACAATTCTAAAATATAAACATCTCAAAAAAGAAATAGAAATAAACCAGCATTAAAGAGTAAGACAAATGTACAGATAACTATGAAGCCTTCTTTAGACTATCTGTATTTGTATTTTAGTAGTATACATCAGTTTTTCCATTGAAGTGTGTACTTTTCGGTAGTTGAGTCTTTAGGACTGGCCAAGAAATGGGTGGGCAATCCGCGGCTCTTGAGCCCCTCTGCATCGGATGTCTGAAGCTTTGACAACAAATTAATTAGAAATAAATAACAGCTATTTTTCTTCTTTATGGCACTAGACATTTTTAAATGACTATTTATCTTAGTTTGAAGTGAGTCCTGAGTTTCAGAGCCCTGGATTTGGAAAACTGACCAGGGATAAATCAATACAAAGAAAAGTAACGTAGGAACAAATGTTTCATTCTGCATTTATTCCTCTGCTTTTACTGCCAATAATGCTGACTTAATTATATGCTTAATATATTGAGAAATGGGCCGCCATATAGCTCACCTGGTAGAGCTTGCGGCCCATAGGGACTCAGTTTAGTGCTGTCATTTTATTGAACGTGTTTGATTGGAACATGTAAGAAAAAAGCTAACTAATGACTGATAACATATTCTCCCTGTAGAACTTTCAGGTCTGTATTTGTTTAGTGTTTGATCATACAATCTAATAAACAAATTAAATAACAGTATTTCTCATCAGCAAATGTTTGTGCAATCACTTTATTTAAGGTATTTGAATATAACTTTTTAAGACAAATTGATTGAGAAGAGAGAAAAAATCTGTAAAATCTTTAAGGACAATTCCTGTAAATTAACTGCTTTTGCACTTTATTTCAGTTCATATATTTTACTTTAATTTGATGGTGTTTATTCAACACACTCTCACTCCCTAAGCGTCCAGGAGCGACGCTTGGTCAGGGTCCCGAGGCGTGCAGTTGGGACGCGCCGAGGCTCCTTCAGCTTCATAAACGGACGCAAAGAGCTTTCAACTGATTGCAATTTATTCTCATCGGCGGCAGTATTTGACGCTCATGGAAGCACGGCATCGGTCCATGTCGGCGGTATTTAAAGGCAATGTTGAGATCTTCAAATTAGGTTGAATAATTAAAACGAAAGTTAGTTATAATCAAATATAGTCAATTATATTCTTGTATAACCCACAATGAAAATGTTTCATATGTTATGATGATCTATATTTACAGTATAAACAAAGTAGTTTGTTAAGTTGAGTGTAAGGCCTGTAATGGTTTATGGGTGTCACTGATAAGAGAGGAGGCAGTTTCTTCTCCCTCCCCTCACAGCAGTACACAGGGAGGGGGGCTCCTGACTTAAAGAGAAATACATTGAGGCCCCAAAAAGGTGGTTATGTCATAGCCGAGAATAATATTTTGCAAGTCCTGCAGAGTAGGGGTCATGACCTTTTTACACAAACATGGGAAGGTGTGTCTTATGCCATAGCCATAGAATATGTCACTTGCGGAGAGGGAGCAAACGAGAGAGAGAGAGAGGGGGGGGGGTTCCCCTGGTATACTCTCTCCCGGTAAAGCTCTCTCCCTGAGAGCTGGGTTTTTTCTCTCGGTAAGGTTCTCTCAAACTTGGTAAATATCTCTTGAATTACTGGGTTGAATGAGTGGAATGAATTGATATGTGTTTGTGAGTATTAGTACCCGCCACCTGTGAGGATCTTCCTCCAAATTCATGCGGAATATAGGTATGTGTTTGTGAATGTTAGTCCCGCCACCTGTCGGAATATAGGTATGGAATTTATGTGAATTGATTTGGTGAATGAAAGTTTGAATGTGCTTTTTAATATCACCGGTCTTTTACGAGGTGATATTAAATGCTGGTTCATGTCCCTGAATAAATGGATGAGAGAAGAAAAATGACTGCGCATACTTTATTAGTTTAGCAGGTTTAAATTGTGTACAATGCTTTTGTGTTTTTCCCCTTCAATTCTGAGAAACAACTTATTTTCTCTGAAATGTGGAGCACCAAAGAGACTCCTCCGCTCCCTTCACTGGCTTCCGGTAACTGCTAGAATCCATTTCAAGACACTGGTACTTGCGTACCATGCTGCGAATGGATCTGGCCCTTCCTACATCCAGGACATGGTTAAACTGTACACCCCAGCGTGTGCACTACGCTCTGCATCAGCCAAACAGCTCGCTGCACCCGCACTGCGAGGGGGACCCAAGTTCCCATCAGCAAAAACACGTGGGTTTGCTATCCTGGCTCCAAGATGGTGGAATGAGCTCCCCATTGACATCAGGACAGCAGAAAGCTTACACACCTTCCGGCGCAGACTGAAAACTCATCTCTTTCGACTCCACTTCGAGCGATAGAATTACTAACAAAGCACTTATATACTAACAAAGGACTGGCTTACCTAAAGCCAGTTGAGTAGCACTTGACATGTTTTGGCTCTATGAAACCTGATGTACTTATATGATTCTGTATTCTTCAAGTTTGTATCTTCTTGGTCGAATGCACTTATTGTAAGTCGCTTTGGATAAAAGCGTCAGCTAAATGCAATGGAATGGAATGGACGCTCACATTGCCTTTAAGAGCCGCCGACATAAACGGATGCGGTGCTTCCCTGAGCGTCAAATGCCGCCGCCGATGGGAATACATTGCAATCAGTTGAAAGCTCTTTGCGTCCGTTTATGAAGCTGAAGGAGCCTCGGCGCGTCCCAACTGCACGCCATGGACCCTGACCAAGCGTCGCTCCTGGACGCTTATGGAGTGAGAGTGTGTTGGTTTATTTGACAGTTTTGTACCTCTTTTTTTATTTACAGTGTCACAAATAATCAGATCAAACCCATTGATTGATATACTTTATTAATTCCCGTGGGGAAATTGTTTCTCTGCATTTGACCCATCCTAGTGTTAGGAGCAGTGTGCTGCCATTTTGAACGGCGCCCAGGGAACAGTGTAGGGAACGGTGCCTTGCTGAGAGACACCTCGGTAGCACTTGGTCTTGCCGGGACTTGAACTGGTGACCTTCCAGTTGCCAAGCCAAGTCTCTATCGACTTCGCCACCACCGCCCTTTTTTTAAATGTATTTATTTTTATTTTGTATATTACATTGCATTATATTCCAGATGTATAAAATAGAAATTGAAGTGCATTTGTCAATATAAATATAATGTTACAATTCATTTAAACTAACAATTACGGTTAAATTAATGTTGGCGAGACTGGTTGTCCATAATGTATTTTTTGCACTACGAGTGAAAGTGTGAGCAGCACATTCCAATGTCTGATGGCTGTAAAAACAGGTTTCTGTATTGTTGATCTCAAAAACATTGATGCAACAAAGTAGTTCCATTATATAACTTCATAAACTGTCTATTACAAATATTTTCTCAGCTCCAGACAAACTGTATTTGGAGGCAGAGGGGGCAACATGTCTCTTTTGATAATAAAGGTTGCTGCCCCTGGGCTAAGATAAAGGACAGAAATAACATCCATAGATCTGATCATTATGTAAGTGCAGGAAAGGATATTGATAAATGGAGGTTACATTCTGAGAAATAAGTAGGCTATATATATAGCCTATACTAATGCAATGTCTACAATGTTTTTTACATATATCTAACTATGAATATATCCTGTAAAATATAAATAAAAACGATGGGAGATGCTTTTCTTATAGAGAGTCCTCATCCATCCTCTCCTCCCCTTCTCAATACGGTCAAAGGGGGAGGGACACACACACACACACACACACACACACACACACACACACACACACACACACACACACACACACACACACACACACACACACACACACACACACACTCTGCTGATGTCAGGCTCCAGTCATGTCGACCCTCCTCAGCACCATCATCTCCATGGCTGTTCTACAGAGACGTGAGTACCACCGTCGTGCTTCTCCCCCGCTACCCTGTGTGTGTGTGTGCCGCTCCTGGCTGCAGGTAGCCCGGCTTCTCTCTGCTCGGTACCGGGACGAACCGGGGAGAGCTGTCGGTGTTTGTGACGGGGCAGCGGGATGCTCGGTGCGCAGCAGAGAGCAGTGACGCTGTTATGGTTATTAATAAATATTAAGGACAGCAGACATCCCATAATCATTAGAGGGAATGTGACAGAAGATTAATGCAGGAGTCTTAATTATTACTGATGCACTGAGGCAGTATTATGTGCAGGGACAGTGTGTGCCATGCTCATAACACACATTACAATTCACTGCCGACACAGAGCAGAATGCATGCGTTGCGTTCACGTGTTATCGGTTTTCTAGAAGAAATCTAAGCTGCAATATGGAATGAGAGAACACTTAACATGAAACCTCTCAATCACATGCATGCTATTACAGGTAGCATGTGCTTCTCATCAGGGCTGGAGAGTAACTGAGTGCTTTTACTCAAGTAAGTTAACTATTAAGGTAGGCTACTTGTATTTTACTTGAGTATGTTCACATTATGCTGCTTTTATACTTTTACTTCAATACATTTTGTAGGCAAATGTTGGACTTTTTACTCAATTACATGTATTTTACACACACTTTAAAAAAGAAATTGTAAAAAAACGGAAATGTTCTGGCAGCTGGGGCGCCAGCAAATGTCCGCTAAAAAAAGGAAAAAAAAACTGTAAAATAAAATACGGAGATAACATGTTAAAAAACAGTAACTTACCTTACCACAAGTAGCCTCTATTACTGTAATTGTACATGAAATATTTTTCTTTTAACATTTATTATTTGTTAGAATAGAGTTATACACCTCTTGGAAACAGAATAATTATCTTTAAAAAATGATAAAGAAAAGCTAAAATACGGAAAATTACTTTTATTATTACAAAAAAGTACCATATATCTAAGACCATCAACAAGTAAAACACAAAGAAAAGAACGTCATTTTACTTTGCAAAAGCCTTAGTTTATATGAACTATCACATTTATTGCCAAAAAAATCTGTAATTTTACAAGAAATGTTTTTATAATTCCATTAAATCTTTTTCTTTTAACATGTATTAATTGTTAGAATAGAGTCACACACCTCTAGTGCAAGTAAATACAAATAAAACAGAATATAAATAGTGCAAGAAGAGTCTATATGCAAGTAAATGGAATATGATTGCACTGCCGTACCAGGCCGTGATGCAGCCAGTCAGGAGTCCATGTTGAACCTTCTCAGCCTGCGGAACAATTACCTCATAATGTCCAGGGACTTTTCACACGGAGAGAAAACATACACATGTTGAGAGGAAACTGCATTTTATTTTTTTTAAACCACCCATACGAACAAATTCCAAACTTAATTTCATCACAACAGAAGGTATTCATCAGTGGAATAACTGTAATGATGAGCTGAAATACTGTGCAACTTTATCTAAACTAAAACTCTCATTTAGAAACCAAATCCTGAATGGTTCTGAGCAGGACTGGTGAAGTGATGCTTGCTATTTCTTGTCGTTGTAAAAGTTATTTCTTTTTGGTTGTTTTGTACAAAATAATGATTTGTTTAAAACAATGAATCAACTATGACGGATGCTGATGACGATGACCTAAACTTGTATTTTCATGAACAATGTACGCTAAGGGGGGGTAGGACCAGAAACGCTTTTAAGCTTCTTCGTGCCCCTTTTGAACATGATAGAAACTTTGAGAATACATTTTTTTTATACCTTGAACCTTGAGTTATTATTATCGTTTGTTTTGTTTCTAACATGTTCAATACATTGACTAATACCATTTGCTGTCTAGCTGTTTTGGTGATGGTGTTTTTGTGATGAGTCCATGTCAGGTCCTCAGTGATGTGGACACAGAGGAACCCATCCCATTTCGGTGCAAGAAATAGTTGCGTCTTCCTCATCAGATTCCATTGTCATCAGGTGCTGACACACACGCTAACCCTTTACTTGGTGGTACAAGTACAATATTCTAATTATACTTGTGTGTTTCTCTGTTATAGACCACACACATACACTAAACCTGCTCCATGACTGTATTACTGTGCTGTTGTGTTGATATTAATAAGTTAAGGAAATCAACCGCTACCAATAATCTTGTGTGTTCTTACCGACACCCCAAAGTGTAAGTCACTCAGAGTAAAACCTTCCCCTATACAGTCCTGCCTGAATCCCTATTCAATAGGACTCCTTGAAAACAATTCCCTTTCTCCAAATAACTGAATTGGTTTTCTTTTGTTGTCGACAAAGGGCCCTCTTTCCGTCATTTTCATTGAGCTGAAGTAAACATACCACCGATTGGCTAAGAGTGAGTTTGGGATTTTAGGGAGGAGCCAAAGCACACCACTGCAAAGGAAAGGGGTACACTGAATTTATAACCCAAGACAAAACAAGAGCATATTGCGAAACAGAATGCAGCACAATAATCTTTTTATCTCGATTATCTTGTATTGTCAGGAGCACTTATCGTGTGTCAGAAATGTGCACAATCCTCTACTCTGTGGTTTAAGATGGAATTACTTAATAATTACAATTCAAGTCTTACCTCTGCAAGAACTCCAGGGTAGCTCCCAGTTCTGAGCGATAACTGATGTTGAGGCAGTAATATGGTGCAAACATCAGCATCAGGGCGTCGACAACATTCAGGACACTGCCACTGACGTCTGGTCTGGTCCGGTCCTCTGCTATCATGTAGTGTCCAGCTGTCAGGGGAGATAAATCCCAAAGATATTTGGCGCATTGATTGTTTTTTTTTTGGTGATCACATGGCCAATTGTAATTTAGGAATTATCAGCTCCTGCAGCTTTCTTTTCTTTCTTAAGTGTTTCCTAATGTTAACAGTGTAGAAAATGTCACATCATAAGGGATAGTTTGGGTGTTTAAAGTGGGGTTGTTGTTTACTTATCCGTAGTCAGTGTATTACCTGAGGTGGTGGGAAGGGAGAACTGGGCCTCGGCATCGGCAGGAGTTTTTGGGTCTGATTCCTCACCATGCCGAGAGGCCCTCTCTCCTTATTTCTTCTGCCTCAGTCACCACTGCGATCTGGCTCCTCTGTCCTCTTGACTTGTGGTTCTGCAGGCTTAGTTCAACCTAGGAATTTCAACAATGCTCCTGTAAAATATAGTTATAGTATTATGTGTCAACATTAAAATAACATACATTGGAGAGCAAAATGTGAGATTCCATTGACTGTAGGCTACATATTATACACACAATTGACAGCAGGGGCAATAACAACTAAAATGTGAACTAACTTGAATGCATTATTCCACAACACATAGCCTAACTAATGTTAGCCTACATAGTTACTAACATCAGAAGACATAGACTAACTGTGGTTACATTACTTAACTAGCTAGCTACAGCAACAGAAAATATTTTCATTCATCATCTTCACCAGTCAGAAAATGTCCGATAGCCGCAATGCTAATTTCCGCTATGTTAAACTCCATTGACTTATGCTGAAAATGTTAGCGATCTAAAAGTCCGCTATTTTTGGCTGTGTTGGTTCCACTTCAGTTGACTGTAACATCGAAAATCTTACCGAATTGAATGTTCTCAAAGCTGCGGAAGGGTTAGCTAATTTAGCTGTTGTAGTGCCGAGAGACGGGACCTACGGATGAAGCAACTAGACTACTTGTAGTGTACATGCAGAATTATTTCAATTTAAAATAGTTTTAAATGCTCACACACATACCTGACTCTCCGTTTTGAAGCACCTGATGAAAGCTTTCTCTTTGACGGCGCCATAATCCCATCATCAACAGACAGAGGCAACGCACTTGCATTTGAATCTGCCAATCAGATCAATCTATTACTGGAGACGGGGGGGCCTCCCCGAAATCTGTGAGATTGATTGGTTTTATGATCACTGGCACGTAATGTGTCCAATAAGAACGTTAACACGTTTTAGAGCGTTATAAAAATATTTGTTTAGCGAAGACGGAGGTCAGTTTTGGATAGCGGAAAGCTACATTACCCATGATCCTCAGCCACTGGCAGCCGGAAGTGGCGCGTTCGATTACTGTTTTGGGCTGTCTGCCGTGGATGGGCTGCATTCCACTCCAAATAGCCGGTCGGCCGCAACCAGAATTCATTTATAAACGATTTTTGGTCCAGCCAAAGTGCTGTACATATAATAAAAAATAGCCTACAGTAGAGACACTTTACAGCAAATACAACAGCACAGATTGTTCAGAATATCAGTATGAGAAAAACGACACCCTCTATCCTTAGACCCTCACATCGTACAAGGAAAAACTTCCAGAGAAAACCCACATTTTAAAGGGAAACATGGGAGAAACCTCAGGGAGAGCAACAGAGGAGGGATCCCTCTCCCAAGACGGACAGACGTGCAATAGATGCCGTGTGTAAATCGAAGAGATAATACATTTTACAGCATATAGACCGAATGTTAGGAAATGCATGTGTCTGTAATAAGAAGATAAGCCACGAGGATGTCAGCTACAATCCTGTGGAAGCCATCAGGGAAGCAGCATGACGAGACCCAAGGCAGGACCGCAGAGACAGGTTCAGCCACGACCCGAAGTCCACGACTTAATCCAGAACTCAGGATAGAGGATCCAAGACACAGGACTACAGCAAGAGGATCAGCCTCGACTCCGGATCCCGGCGTAGATATAGATACAAAACAAGAACAAAGATTTGGCTGGGTTAATCGGAACAAGAGAATACACAGACACAGACAGAGAGGGAAAAGGTAATTGGATAAAAGTTATTCTTCATAACCCTCTAGAAAGATCTCATGATCTTGTAATGCACTGTTGAGGAACCTGTGACCCAAGTTTTTCATTCATTGCATAACCACACCATAGTTGTGTATATGATATGTCAATAAACCTTAGAAAATCTTGAAATCTTGAAAGGGATGTGCAAAATAGCCATAATATACAGTCTTTAATGAACTATTAGTAGAGAATAAC